TTTGACTTGGATTTTATTTTATTTTATTTTATTTTTTTGGATTCTATTTTATACAATTTGTCCTGCTCCTTCTGTCTTATTTTAATTTATGTTTGGTTGGAAAACCTTGGTCCATTCTTTTTTTTTTTTAAACCTTTGCCATTCTGTTATAATGAATCTCTTCTGTGTATCATATACTTCCTTATTTATCCACTGATTCATCAGAAATATTTCCTGAGTTCCCATGGTGTGCCAGGCAGTCCTTGATGCTGGAGATGTGACAGGAACCAAAACAAAGGGTATAATGTTGACACCATATTGAACAATTATGACCTGTGGAATGTGATCGTCGGGCAACTTTGTTTTAATTTACTGGTACCCCTTTAAATTTACTCATGGGGTTAGTTCTTTCTTTTGCTGATTTGCTTTTCTCTTTCTCTAGGTTCCAACATAATTGAGTCCAAAAACTAGCTTAGAAGATGGGTAGGAGTGATAACAGTGCCAGAATTCTTTTCTCACAGAGAGTTGGTTGTAAAAGGCCTGAGTTAGGAAAGGGAATAATCTTTGAACAGAGTTTAACTTTTGATTACTATTTTACCTATTAATTACTACCAGAAGGTGGTGAGAAGACATGGAACTGGCCTTAAATTTCATTCCAGGGGAAGGAAGAACCAGTTCCGCACGCATAACTCTCTCTCTCTCTTCCATATCCAGCTAGATATTTCCCAATTTGTTGCTATAATCTGGGATCTAGATTATGTTTATTAACATGTAATTTTTTCACATCTTCTCTTTTTAAAATGTTTATTATGAAAGAGAAAGCAAGAAAGAGAGAGAGAGAGCATATGTATGAGTGGGGGGGTATGACGAGAGAGAGAGAGAGAGAGAGAGAGAGAGAGAGAGAATCCCAATAAGTCTCCATGCTGTCAGTGCAGATCCTCAAACAGGGCTCTAGCTGACGAACTGTGAGATCATGTCCTGAACCAAAATCCAGAGTTGGATGCTTAACTAACTGAGCCACCCAGGCACCACTCAAATCTTATATTTTGAATTAATTCTACTGTAGGCATCTGATTTTATCACTATATTTCCCATGATTAGCTATAATAAATTCTGTTTGATTTTCACATTTTCAGCCAATTTGTTTATATCTCATATTTCCCATTCTAAATTTTGATTACCACCTCTAGGGTGGAATATATTTTAAGTCCTTACATATCTGGGACAATATATCTGTGGCTTAAGTAAATGGTCAACAATTCATCAGGTTACTACATTCTTGAGTCTCATACTTTTCCCTTTATAATTTGTGATCTTTGATTCATAGTCTTCTGGCATTAGGGTTACACAAGAAAGGTTAGAGGTGAGCCTAATTTTGCTTCCTTGTAGGAAACAAAATTTATTGTCTGTAAGGTCACAGAAATTTTTCATTATCCTTAAAGTTCAGGAAATTTGCCAAAATAGTTAATGGTTTAATTTCATTGATTTTGTCTGGATTGTGGTATGCCTTTTTAATCTGCATGCTCAGACTTTCTACAAAATTTTTCTTACTTATATATCTCAGATCCCTAGTTCTGTTCTTGTAGACTTGCAAGTAAATTAAAGAAGAGTCTGTATTGAATTTAAGTTCAGGGGCACCTGGGTGGCTCAGTGGGTGAAGCATCAGACCTCAGCTCAGTATGTTAGAACATACTTATGCGGGGCACCTAGGTGTTTCAGTTGGTTGAGTGTCCGACTTCAGCTCAGGTCATGATCTCATGGTTCGTGAGTTCAAGCCCTGTTTCAGGTGAGCATGAGCCCTGCTTTGGGTGAGCCCCACTTTCTCTCTCTCTCCCTCTCCTGCCCCATGTGGGATTCTCTCTCTCCCTCTCGTTCTGCCCCTCACTCACTTGTACCCTCTCTCTCTCAAAAAAATTTCAATTCAAATATATGATGTAAAATTCTTCCCATATTCATTGACTTTAATCAAAAAGAAATACTTGAGTAATAAGGGTGTTTAAATATTTTAGTAGTCTACTTCTTACCTATAAAACCATATTTTTAAAAAAGTTTATTTATTTATTTTGAGACAGAGTGAGACAGCATGAGCAGGAGAGGGGCAGAGAGACAGGGAGAGAGAGAGAATCCCAATCAGAGCACCACGCAGGGCTGGATCTCATGAACTGTGAGATCATGACCTGAGCTGAAATCAAGAGTCTGACGCTTAACCAACTAAGCCACCCAGACATCCCTAACACCAGATTTAAAAAATGTGTTTAGGGGCACCTGGGTGGCGCAGTCAGTTATGCGTCCGACTTCAGCCAGGTCACGATCTCGCGGTCCGTGAGTTCGAGCCCCGCGTCGGGCTCTGGGCTGATGGCTCAGAGCCTGGAGCCTGTTTCTGATTCTGTGTCTCCCTCTCTCTCTGCCCCTTCCCTGTTCATGCTCTGTCTCTCTCTGTCCCCAAAAATAAATAAACGTTGAAAAAAAAAATTAAAAAAAAATGTGTTTAACAACTCTTAATGAAGTCTAAAAGTCTAGATGGTATAATCATTATACTTCAGGATAAAGGTAGGGTAGGAGAGGAAAGAGAAGATGTGGAAGTACTGGTCTTATTCAGGGAAAAATAGAGCATTCATAACCTTAAGAAATTTATAGAAAAATATAGGGATGAATACTCACAAGGAGAATAAAAATAGGATACATAAGTTTCACTTCAGAAAAAATTTTATCTACCAAGTAGAAGACAGGAAATCAGAATAAAATACATAAACAGAAAATATAAAATAAAGAAGCAGAAGTATGTTCTTTTTTAATTTAAAAATTTTTTTAATGTTTACTTACTTTTGAGAGACGGGGAGGGGGGGGGCAAAGTGTGAGTGGGAGAGGGGCAGAGAGAGAGGGAGACACAGAATCCAAAGGAGGCTCCAGGCTCTGAGCTGTCAGTACAGAACCTGATACAGGGCTCGAACTCATGAACCATGAGATCATGACCTGAGCTGAAGTTGGACACTCAACCAACTGAAACACCTAGGTGCCCCGCATAAGTATGTTCTAACAAGCACAAATCAGAAGAAACATACATGGATTGAACTGATAAAAACTAATATCCTTTCAGATCAAATTAAAACCAACAAACAACAGCAACCAAGATCTGACAACATTCGTTCCACGTGTTATTGGAAACTTACACCAGACTAATTGTGTGAAAGAAAATGGGGATGGTGGTAGATCCTCCAGACTGTCAAGGTAAGCAAAAAATGGCTAGGACAGCTGCCAGAGCTTCATAATTTACATAAAGTAGCCTATGTGGGATGGTAAGGGAAGATTAAACATTTGAGCAATTAGAATGTAAACCAAGCTGCTTTCATGGGGACAAAGTCTGTGATGTCCCTCAGATCATGTTAGGACAGAATCAGAATTGTGGTTGGTGGACCCTGTGATGTACTATCTAGATTCCCCTTCAAAGAAGAACTTCTCTGCCCCAATTTTTTGGAATTTTGCTGGCAGACACAAAATATAATTTTATCCCCAGCTAACTATTGTTCAAAACTGAATTTAAAATATAGACATTATTCAGACACAAAAATAGTTTTCTAGAGAGGAAGTATGATATCTTATTGGTGAACACATTTGTAAATTAATGAAGTGGTGCCTACAAATTGGAAAGAAAAATCTCAGTGTGTAAAGAATTTTAATTTAATATGAGAAAAAAAATATGAAATCTTTAAATTTTTATTAAAACAACTTCAGCAAATCAACTAAAGAAAAGAAACAGTGGGGAAAAAAGCAAAGAAAAAGCATGAAAAACATCAAACATATAGTATGGCATAAATAATTCTAAATGTTTCAATAATCAAAATAAGTATAAATGGATTAAACTTAGCTATTAAAATACGAATAAAAGGCTTCATAAAATCTAGCTATTTACTGCTTATAGACACACCCATAAAATAAAACCACAAAGTAAAATACACTAGGATCATAATCAAAACAAAACCTGCTGTGGCAATGCTAAAGTCAAACAAAAGAGAACTTAAGTCAAATGCATTAATAGGATTGAAGGAGACTTACACAATGATGAAAGAACAGTCCACAAAGAAAACAGAATAACCATGAGCATGTATAAACTCGACAACTTAGCCTCAAACTACAAAAAGCATAACCAAGCAAACCACAAAGAGAAATGGAAAAACCTACAATCATAGTTGAATAATTTAAAAAATCTTGATCAAGAACAGAGAGATAAAACAGACAAAATAAAAATTAGTGAGGATAAATTATATTGGTCTACAAAATTAAGAGTTTATCGTACATAAACATGCATACACACAATACCTTTTGCCCAACATATAAAGCATATACATTCTTTTCAAGCACAGATAGAACATTTATAAAAACTTAACATGTATTACATAACAGAATGTTTCAACAGATTCCAAAGAAGTGCTATCACATAAACCATGTTCTTTAATGTAATTAAGTTAGAAAGCGATAACAAAAATAGTTAAAAAAAACCAAACAAACCCAAAAGTGCCAAATAATTCATGGGTTAAAGAGGAAACCACACAGGATATGATGAAATATTTAAGACTGAACAAAAAACTCTACTACATTTCAAAATGTATATTATGCAGCTATAACATTTAGGAGGAAATTTCTACTTTATCGTATTTACTTATAAACAATAAAAATATTTTTAATGAATGATTTCATGATTTAATTCAAGACACTGTAAATATAAAACAGTAAACTTACAAAAATATATAAGAAGTTAATAACAGTGAGAGCAGAAATAGAGAAAACAAGGAAAGAAAAATCACTGATAGTAATAATTAACAAACTCAAAACCTATTTTGTGAAAAGGCCAATACAAAATATATATCTGTAAGAAAACTTACCAAAAGGGGCGCCTGGGTAGCTCAGTCGGTTAAGCATCCGGCTTCGGCTCAGGTCATGATCTCACAGTTGGTGGGTTTGAGCCCCACGTCAGGCTCTGTGCTGACAGCTTGGAACCTGGAGCCTGCTTCATACTGTGTCTCCTTCTCTCTCCACCCCTCCCCCGCTCATGATTTGTCTCTCTCTCTCAAAAATAAATAAACAAAAAGTAAACTTAGCAATAAATAAATAAAACACAGGCATTGATGAATTGTAATAGGAACACAGACACATAACCACAAATACTATAAACATATACATATATAAATTCGTAGACACTAACCACTGAAAAATGCAAACAAAATGGACAATTTTCTAGAAAAATAGAAACATTAAAGCAAACTCAGAATAGAAAACCCACATAAATGAATTATCACTAAATAAATTGTATCAGTTTTCTCAAATCTATTCTTCCAAAGAACATATTTTGGGTCACAAAAGATGAGTTGCATAAAATTTCAAGAAGCAGATAAACTTTTCAGACAAGAGGAAAAAAAGGGAAAGATATTTAACTCGTATATGCCTTGCATAAACCTGTATGCTAAAACTAAGCAATAAGCTTATTAACAAAAAAATCTCATTTATGGACACAAAATGCAAACTTATGAAACAAATTATTAGCAAATTAAATCCAGATAGCAATATTTTAAAACTATAACTATAACCAATGTTGGCTTTATCTCACAAATCAAGCATAATTTAATACTGGAAAATCTACCCAAGTAATTTAATACATTAACTGAAAAAGTAAAATTATGTAAACATTTTAGCAGAGAATCATAATAAAAATATTTAATAATGTTTAAGATTCACTTATTATTTAAAAAAGTCCTGTCACATTATAAATATAAGGAGTCTTCTTAAATCTGACAGTGTTTACCAAAAACCTACTAGCAACAGCAAAAAATCTGAAATAATCCAAATGTTCATTAGTGGAGGAACGTGGAAATAATGGGGTTTATTCCTTCAGTGGGGCACTATGAAGCAGTTCAGTTGAATTATCAGCAAAGATAGATTTGAAAAGATGAGTAGGAAAAAAGCAATATGTTGTTTGTGTGTACATTGTTGAGGGAGATAGGACGTTAAATTGGAGAGAGGAGGATATAGGCTTCACATTTATCTGTCACAATTTCTTTTCCATAATTTGAAAAAAGGACTTACAGGGGCACCTGGGTGGCTCAGTCGATTGAGCATCCAACTTCGGCTCAGGTCATGATCTTGAGGTCTGTGAGTTTGAGCCCTGCGTTGGGCTCTGTGCTGACAGCTCAGAGCCTGGAGCCTGCTTTGGATTCTGTGTCTCCCTCTCTCTCTGCCCCTCCCTTACCCCTCCCTCTCTCTGTCTTCTCTCTCTCTCTCTCAAATATAAATAAGTATTAAAAAAACATTTTTTTTTAAAGAAAAAGGACTTACAAATATGGCAAAATGTTAGTGTTTGTCACATTTGGATGGCAAGGACAGATATTTTTACAATATCTTTAAAAACTTTCTTTTAATTTTTTAAAAGTGAATTTAAAACATCACTTAGATAATTAAGAGTAGGCATTCTCTCAGGAAAGAGCGAAAATCCCAATTTTTACTAGTTTCTCATGGCCTAAATAACACAGCCTAACCTCCTTAGTACAACATATAAGATCCTCATCACCATACTTGCCTGCTTTTCCAGCCTTTGCTCCCACGGGTGTCTTTTTTCTCCTCTCTGGTAGAGGTCTCCATGCGTTTGTTGACCATATAAACTCAGTAATTAAAATACTTTGGGACTTACATCTCTTTTATACTCACATTTATTTATATAAAATTTATCTACATGTACTACTGCAGTACTAGATTATGTAAATGTGTGCTACAAAAAAAAATAGAAAGGGATAAAATAAAAGTAAGTATTAATGGAAGTGCTAATACCGCCTTAATTGGGAGGGACAGGCACTGTGTAGGCTATAGGTACCAAGAACTCCAGCACTCCCGCTATCTTGAATGTGCTGTTCCCTTGTCCCTTTAGAGAACTGCAAGAGTCGATTTGGACTCTGTCAATTTCCTTTTGTGATTTAGACAAAGTGTGACTCAATAATCTTTCACTCCTCTTGTCACTCAACAAATGCTTATTTATTAAGTAAGGTAGGCACTGTGCTAAGTACTGGACATAGAAAACAAGATAGATGATTATACATACACATACGTATATGTGTGTACACATGCACACACCATGGAATATTATTCAGCCACGAGGAAGAAGGAAGTCCTGCCATTTGCAGCAACATGGACAGACCTTGAGGGCATTATGCTAAGTGAGAAAAGTCATACAGAGAAAGACAAATGATGCATACTATCACTTATATGTGGAATCTAAAAAAGCCAAATTCATAGAAACAGAGAGTAATGATGGATACAGGATTAGGGGGTTCAGGGGGAAAGGGGGTGATGTTGGTCAAAGGATACAGACTTCCAGTTACAAGATGAATGCGTTCTGGGAACTAATGCACTGAATGGTGATTTGATTTGATTTGATTTTTTGATTAAAAAAATTTTTTTATGAGAGACAGAGACAGGCAGACAGAGTGTGAGTGGGGAAGGGGCAGAGAGAAAGGGAGACAGAATCCAAAGCAGGCTCCAGGCTCTGAGCTGTCAGCATAGAACCCGATGCGGGGCTTGAACTCATGAACCGCGAGATCGTGACCTGAGCCGAAGTTGGATACTTAACCGACTGAGCCACCCAGGCGCCCCAGAATGATGATTTTAGTTAACAACGTTGTATTATACATTTGAAAGTTGCTAGAAGAATAGATCTGAAATAGATCTGAAATGTTCTTACCACAAAAAAGAAATGATAATTATTATCAGGTAATGGACATTTTAATTAATCTTACCTTGGTAATCATTTCACAACATGTAAGTGTATCAAATAAACACACTGTATGCCTTAAACTTAAACTTACACAATGTAATGTCATTTATATCTCAATAAAACTGGGAAAAAAGCCCAATCAAATAGGTATATAACCATCTCAAGTAATACTTATTAGGGATGTTGGGTGACAAAGCAGGATGCTGCCCTCAGAAATTACTTAGGTGATTAGGTAAAAGCTCTCTAACCACGTGATATTTAAGTTGAGCCTTAGAGGAAACGAAGGTAATCATGTGAAGGTCTAGGGTGGAAGTTGTAGGCAGGTAGAATAGCAGTGGAAACCTTTTCACTTCTAGGAGCTGTTGTAGAGCCAGGACTCCATAGAGTACTGTTGAGTCAGGGTAAGTATGCACTAGATGAGACGGGAGAGCAGCAGAGGCAGATCCAGTAGGGTCTAGGAGACCACAGCAAAAAGCCTGGGTTTTATTCCAGGTGAAGTGGGAAGCCATGGAAGTTTTAAGCAGAGGAATGCAACTGATGGATGTTTTTAAAAGATCACTCTGTTTCTGTTAGTTCACACTGCTATCACAAAGTACCACAGTCTGGGGTGGCGTAATCAACAGAAATTTATTTCTCCCAGTTCTGGATGTTGCAAAGTCCAAGATCAAAGTGTCAGCATATCTGGTGTCTGGTGAGAACCCACTGCTGGTTTTCAGACCATCATCTTCCCATTGTGTCTTTACAAGGCAGGGAACAGAGAGAGGAGGTTCTAGGGACCCTTTTATAAGGGCACTAATCCATTCACCCTCATGACCTAATTACTTCCCAAAGGCCTACCTCATCATAATAACATCACATTGGGAGTTAGAATTTCAATATATGAACAGCGGGGGGGTGGGGGGTGATGCAAACATTCAATACATAACACCGTCTGTGTCCTCTACAACCTACTATTGGTTAACAATAGCGTTACTTTTACACCATCAAGATTTAAAACACTTACATTCTATTCTATTAACTAGATACATCACCTGTGCTTTGTCTATAAGCTGAAAATTACAGCAAACCAACACCATTTATAACATCACCATTATATAAATATATCTCAAGGCAGATTGGGGAGCCATCCAGTAACCTTAGCTGTCAATGGGGATTTGCCCCATGTGGGGTAGGTCAGCAATTTTCTAGAATCTATGGAATATGTGGGTAATTCCATCTAATGCCAGATTTCAGTGTGAGAAAGTCCGTTTTGCCATGTACCACGCTGAACATACAGCAGCGCTATCAGTAATGAAGCAGATGAGACTTCACGCTCTTGGCAGGCAGGCAGATGCCAGAAAGGAAACGATAGGGAAAGGACTAGCTTCTGTTCGTCCTGTGTCTGATTCCAAATTCATCAACCCAATACATTCCTCCACCTCTGTGGTGGGGGAGTTAAGTGTGAAGGCAAGAAAAGGCCAGGAGCGTCACTTTAGAAAAACTCCCTCCACAGGGAAAGAAACACTGGGAGTGAGAAGTGATTTTCCTTGTACCACTCACCTCTTGAAGGCTGCTTCCCACACTTTTCTTCTTCCCTCTCCAGCCTTTTGGTTTGCTCTTATATCTTGTCTTCCACCTGGGGGTGGCTAACCAGGTTTTTCTGCCTTTCCTATCATTCCCAGACGGTTTCCATCTTAAACCCGGTTGGGTCTCTACTGAACCTAAAATTTGTAATCTCGTGTATTTATCCGTGTCTACTGTGGACTTGAGGCCATGTGGGGTGCATACACAGGAAGTTGGAGGAGAGAGTATTTGCAAATTATGGCTACAAGTAGACTCTTCAAAAATCACTTCATTATACTGTCTATTCCTTACAGCCGACTTGTAAAGTTCTTAGCACCTCTATTGTGTAGAGGCATAACCTGAATTTTTGAAAAGTTAAGTGACTTGTCCTCAGTGCCTTAATTCAAAAGTGGGAGAATCAGACTTCCAAGCTCAGTTTTCTTACCTTTCAGTCCTGTGCTCTGTATGCTCTAACACAATGGCTCATTTAAAAATCTTTTTTTTTTTTTTTTGCAGTATGTCTTGATTTGCTAGCCTCTCTTTAGCCTGCAGGTGAGAGAATGCAGGAGGAATTCTAGAGAACAGACATGCAATAGCTTTTATACATGTTTAAGAGAATCTGTATAAAAATACTTTAATAGTTAAGCGTATACACATTCCTTGCTTAACAGGTGCTATTATCTTCCCAATGCACAGTCTCTGATAGTCCGCATTTGACTGTCTCTTTAACACCTGCTTGTCACATCTGGATAAGTGGGTTGAAGCAAGAAGCAGCATTCCATTTCCTAAACATTCTTTTTAAACTGGGATATCTCCCTGGGAAGAAAGACATTATTTACATCACGCTTTGGGTAGAATAAATTGGTCTTAGTGCAAACTTCTCCATTTTCTCATTATCTACACCCTCACCTGGCTCTACTTCCTTTAACTTCACGCTCAGTTTTGCCCATTCTGAGAATTCTCTTTTCAAAGTATCAACTAATTTTTAAGAAAAAGGTATTATATAAAACTTCTCAAACATACCCAAAATAGAATAGTACAATAAATCCCTAGCTATGCATCTTCCAGAATCAACAATGACCCAAATTACACAACACTGCAATATGTATAGCTTTTCTTTGCTGAAATATGTGAAAGTATACCCCCAGCTTCATATCGTTTCATGACTACACATCTCAGCATAGACTGAGGTCAAACTGTTAAACGTCATCAACACTCTTCTAAAGAGTATGGACTTTATTCTCTAGGTAAACATTACTTACAAAATTATTTCATAGACATCCCACATAATTTGGTGTTTGGATTTCTAGCTCAAATATCTAAAATATATATTAAGTAAATTAATAGTGTTTATCCCAACATCTGGAAGAAAAAAGTCTACTTAATCTCAAAAACAGATCAAAGAATCAATGGATCCATTCAGTAATAGATCAACTGGATGGAGAGGCAGGGAAACCCAGCTGGGATGGCTGCTTCTCTAACTGACTGCTGCAGAGCAGGAGGCTCTGACCTCCCTCTTCCCCAGCCAGCCACTAGTAAGACTGCCCACAGGAACCCTGCTCCCTCCTGCACTGGACTTCTACCCATCTGTGTAGCAACAGGCTGTTTGCCACAATGAAGCCATTCTTTAAGACCAGCTAGAGTCCCACCTGCTCCATGAAGGCTGTCACAATTATGGCTTCCAGTTGGCTCTCTCTTCAGCACACAATTCAGCAATTACTGTTTCATGCATATATCTTGTCTTCTCCAGGAGGCCTCAAGGACATCAAGGGTAAGAAGTATGTTTAGGCTTCTACTTTGTAACTTATGGTGCCAAATAATGATGGCGCAGCAGGGGCTCAATAAATATTTATGATGGGGCTTTCATTTAGGCTGATTTGTTAAGTGTCATTTTTTTTCCTGCTCAGAATCAAGTCAAAAGAGGAAGAGAAAAAACCAGCAGAGGCATTTCTGTCTAGGAACATAGATAAAAGACAGGTTGTGTTGGCTTTCATCCATCCACTAGTTCAACCTGCCCTACAAGTCCTTTTAAATCCTGCCCATTCTGTCTTTGCTTGAACAACCTACAATGCTTTTTTTCTTTTTCTTCTCTTGTGCAAATGACTAGGGCAATTGTCTGTTGTTGGCACGTATTGTGGTATGACCAAGTGTTTAAGAATCATGAAACCCTACATTAAGAAGTCAGTCCCTAACTGAACCTTTACCCAAAGCAAGGCTTATTTCTTGCAGCAGCACCATGGTGCCACCAAGTGGACAGTTTTTGAACAATTTAACTCATAAGCTGGCAAAGCATTTTGGAACGGGGGCATTTGTGGCCAGTTCATTTATGGAATTGCAGATTTTATGCTTTGCATTCTTATGGCTAGGATTTTCATGTATTCTAACAACTGCCTCACTTATGGTTCTTGCAATATTATTCTCTTTAACTCCTACTTACTATTTAAGAAAATTCCTAATGAAAGCATTTATGAAGTAGAACAATATGGGTGCTTACTTTTCATCTTCCTAGATTTGAGAGAAACCAAGTTTCTCATTTTCTCTGGGTGAACTTTTAAAATATTAATTCTATTTCCTAGGGCATTCTACTTAAAGAGGAAGGGGCCTATGCATTATGATATATGTGCCATCTATGTTTAGCCTTGATGTGTTGTTTCTCCAGAGTTAATCTCATATCTTATTAGTCATTTCACCAACCAAATGGTGCTGGAACAATGGGACATCCATACACACACACAAAATGAACCTCAACTCTTACCTTGCAGCATATACAAACATTAACTGGAAATGGATGCCATTATCACACATAGCCCAAGACTCAGCTGAATGCCCAATTCAAGGAACTCCTTGAAGAAACAAGACAACTCTGGGACATCTTACTCTCTCCTACTGACCTGAGACTAAAGGTAGCTCACAGGCATTTTCCTTGGCAGAGGCCACATGAGATAAATTTTCTTTCTTTAAAAAAGTATTTGCTTGGGGCACTTGGGTGGCTCAGTCGGTTGAGCATCCGACTCTTGATTTCAGTTCAGGTCATGGTCTCACAGTTCATGAGTTTGAACCCCATGTCAGGCTCTGCACTGACAGTGTGGAACCTGTTTGGGATTCTCTCTCTCCCTCTCTCTCTCTGCCCCTACCTGGCTTGTGCTCTTTCTCTCTCAAAATAAATAAATAAACTGGGGCCACCTAGGCGGCTCAGTCAGGTAGGCCTCCAACTTCGGCTCAGGTCATGATCTCACTGTCCATGAGTTCCAGCCCCGTGTCGGGCTCTGTGCTGACAGCTCATAGCCTGGAGTCTGCTTTGGATTCTCCATCTCTCTCTCTCTCTCTGCCCCTCCCCTGCTCATGCTCTCTCTCTCTCTCTCTCTCTCTCTCTCAAAAATAAAGATTAAAAAAAATTAAATATATAAACTTAAAAAAAGGTATTTGCTCAATTTAATGTTTGATTTTTCTAAAAGTCTGTCTTGGCTCTGTGTAATTTAGATCAGTGCATACTTGTGGTTCTATATGAAAAAAAAATTAGCGGGGCGCCTGGGTGGCGCAGTCGGTTGAGCGTCCGACTTCAGCCAGGTCACGATCTCGCGGTCCGTGAGTTCGAGCCCCGCGTCAGGCTCTGGGCTGATGGCTCAGAGCCTGGAGCCTGTTTCCGATTCTGTGTCTCCCTCTCTCTCTGCCCCTCCCCCGTTCATGCTCTGTCTCTCTCTGTCCCAAAAACAAATAAATGTTGAAAAAAAAAATTTAAAAAAAAATTAGAGAATGTTTGAATTTACATATAAAACACTCGTAAGATGTGGGCAAGTGCATTAGACTACCAGCCAAGAGATACAAAGTCTAATTCCAAGTTTGTTACTAATAACCAGTAGAGCTACATACATGATTCAATCTCTCTTAGTTTCCACATTTGTTAGGTGGTTAGTGTCTCTCCATTTTCAACTTTGTGTATTTCTAAATTTTCATTAATGAGCCTGTTTATACTATTAATAGATTCCTTCCCTCTGTCTTATGTGATATTTTTTGTGATTGTGTGTATTTGCAAATTAGTTTTTGTGCAATATGAGCTTTTCATTTAAATCTATTATTCTTTTTTTGTTGTTATAATTTTTTAAAATTGTTTATTATTTTTTTTTTATTTTAGAGAGAGAGCAGGGGAGAGGGGCAGAGGGAAAGAGAGAGATAGAGAGAGAGAGAGATGGAGACAGAGAGAATCTTAAGCCGGCTCTACATTCAGCTCAAAACCCGACACTGGGCTCAATCTCATGACCATGAGATCATAACCTGAGCCAAAATCAAGAGTCAGACACTCAACCGACTGAGCCACCCAGGGTCTCCTTTATTTTTATATAGTAAATATATGACAATGACAGATATAACTATATATTAAAGCACTTAACACAAAATTTAGGGGGTAGCCTAGTAACCGCCATAAGTTTAAAGCAGTAAAGCAAATTGTATTTTGACATATCTGAAATAATTTCACTGTGCTACGGAAACAGCTGTGATTTCTACTGGTGATAGTCATAGGTCTGCTAATGTGAAGGTATGCTAATACATAAGGTCTGCTTCATTCATAATTTAAGGGCATGCCAATTTTCAATTAGAGAAATTCAGAATTCTAAACATGAACTCCTTTGTGGAGGATCCATGGACCCCAGTTTAAGTCAGTAAATGCTATTATTCTTAAGATCTCAGATTCACTGGGGCACCTGGGTGACTCAGTTGGTTAAGCGTCCCACTTCGGCTCAGGTCACCAACCTCATGATATTGCCATTCAGGAGTTTGAGGCCTGCATTAGGCTCTGAGCTGACAGCGTGGAGCCTGCTTCAGATCCTCAGTCTCCCTCTCTCTCTGCTTGGACACGCGTGCATGTATGAGCGCTCTGTTTCTTTTCAAAAAAAAAAAAAATTAAAAGAAAAGTCTCAGACTAATTTTGATGAATACTTATAGAAAATTTCTCAGGACTATATGTTTCTTTCAAACCTGCTAAATGCGTATTACAACAAGTGTATTTCTAATTTCTGCCAAATTTTAAGTCTCTTTAAGAAAGAGTGGTAACACCATATACCCTAAATATGCCACCTAAAAACACCTCTGCCATCTTCCATAAAAGAAAAGGCAGATTAACCTGAGTGTGCTTGTCTTACTTGGGTCACCAAGCCAGGGGATTGCAGGATGGGTAAGTGTAAAATTACCATAAGGAGGCATCAAAATACAGTGGGAAGCCTTGAATTTTGGCCTCGAGCTATCACCTTCTAAGTACCTGATTGTGGGGAAAATCACTTAATGTGTCTGAGCCTCTGTTTCCTTATAAGCAAAATGGTGATAACCTATTCTGCTGAATACATTTGATTGAAGGCTCAAGTGAAATAAGATTCAAGGTAGCATGTTGAAAACTCGGAAGGGCGGGGCGCCTGGGTGGCGCAGTCGGTTGAGCGTCCGACTTCAGCCAGGTCACGATCTCGCGGTCCGTGAGTTCGAGCCCCGCGTCAGGCTCTGGGCTGATGGCTCAGAGCCTGGAGCCTGTTTCCGATTCTGTGTCTCCCTCTCTCTCTGCCCCTCCCCCGTTCATGCTCTGTCTCTGTCTGTCCCATCTGTCCCATAAATAAATAAAAAAAAAAAACTTTGGGGAAAAAAAAAAAGAAAACTCGGAAGGGCAACTATGATGGAAATTCGTCCATTTCGTAGGAGGAACCTAGAAGGAGCTTAGAAAGGTAGGGAGTACAGGAGAAGAATCAAGGATGATTCAGAACGAGAAGCAAAACCTGATTGTGCCTTGTTATGGGACTGTCATAACCATCAGCTCTTCTGGTTCCCCTCTCCCCCTGGTGGGAATGATGGGAACAGACATAATCTTGTCCATGATCCTTTCAGTTCAGATAACAGGAAGGGATATTACAGTTTAAGGATCAATAGAAAAATGACGGGGGGGGGGGGGGGGGGGCACCTGCATGGCTCTGTCGGCTGAGCCTCTGACTTAGGTTCAGGTCATGATCTCATGGCTCGTGAGTTTGAGCCCTGCATCAGGCTCTGTGCTGACAGCTCAGAGCCTGGAGCCTGCTTTGGATTTTTTGTCTCCCTCTCTCTGACCTTCACCACTTGTGCTCTGTTTCTATCTCTTTCTCTCAAAAATAAACATTAAAACATTAAAAAAAAAAAAAAGAAAAATGAGGGGAAGAAATAGGGCAGGAGAGGAGTGACATAGAATTAACACTCTATTATCACTCGTGGCAAGTCAGACACCATGTGTATACAATCTTTTTACCTGCAGGGATGGCTTCTGGGTTCTCAGTGGTAGGAACAGAATCTTCAGTTGATGAATATAAAATAACCACTTAAAAAGTAAAGCAACTGAAGAATGAGAAATGTTCTTTTTTTTTTTTTTTTTAAGAGGGAGACTGTATTTTAAAATTGTCACCATCAGAGAAGAGAAAAGAAAGGTTGTGGAAATGTTCTGGATTAAAGGAGACTAAAGACACATGACAAGCATATGTAATACCTGATCTATGCTGAATCCCCTACTAGAGGAGACAAAACAATGCTATAAAACATTACTGGTCAATAGATAGAATTTGAATATGGATGGCAGATCGTATAAAAGTATCACGTCAACGTTAAATTTACTAAAGCTGAAGACTTTGCTATGGTTATGAAAGCAAATACCCCTATCCCTCCCCCCCCCCTTTTGGTCAAATACCCCTATTCTTTTTTTTTAATTTTTTAAAAATTTATTTATTTTTGAGA